GAGAAAATAAAAATATGGTCAGTGAGCATTGTCACACACACACACACACACACACACACACACACACACACACACACACAAACATTATCTACAAATTTGGATCTTTTTTGGATTCACCATTTTTGAATTCACAACAATGAGAAAAAAACTGTATCAATGTCTCTTTCACTTTTTTCTCTTGTTGTTTATTCGCATAGTTCATCATCATCATCAACAGCAGAAGAAAACATTTTATGAAAATATCCACCGAATATGTGTGAATATGAAAAATGATTTTTTCTTTCACAACTTGGTTTGCCCACCAAAATAGATAGAGAATCACAGAAACTATGGGGAAAAGACATTGGAAAAATGATAAAGCCAAAAATGATAAGAAAAATAAAACATTTTAACGTTTATAGTTTTACAGATCTAATTCATTCATTCATTCATTCATTCATTTTGATGTTCCATATGGATTTCAAAATAGTTCATTTCAACTAATTTTATGGAATGAACACAACAACAACAAAGCATCTTCTTTTTTTCTACTTTTCATTCTCTTCAATAACCATACCGAATCCATTTTAAATATCAACCAATGACGACCAAACCAAAAAAACTACAGAAAAATGTCATAATCATTCGCTGTTGTTGTTGTCAATTGTAGCTAACCAAAACTAATTCGACAAACCAAATGTATCAACAAAAAAAAAAAAAATGTATCCAACTTATCCACGATGACGATTTTGAAATGATAAAGTTCAGTGATTGAGGGAGAGAGAGAGAAAAAAGGTGGAGGAAAAGATGGATTTTTCACAAAAAAACAAAAACAAACTCCACCAAAAATCCATTGAACTTGTGATTCAAAAATACTCAATTTCAATTTTGTCGACCGAAGAAAGAAAAAGAAATATTCAAATTTGATTTACATAATAAAACAATTAATCAAAATATTGTTTTAAAATATGGCGCCATATTTTTTCTTGTTGGTGGATAAATTATAACATGGAATAAAAAACATTGCATTTGTCATGTCGGTGTGTGTGTTTGGTGGAAGAAAAATATTTACCGAAACAAAAAAAAATTTACATATTTTTTCATGTGGATATATGCAATATGCAATAATCATCATAAGCATATAGTTTCTAGGGTTTTCTCTGGTTTTTTTATCCCAAATATAGATTTTTTCATTGAAAATTTTTCAATGAATTTTTTTTTCGTTGTTGCTGAAAAATTTCTAGATTTTTAAATGACAAAATGACCATCATTGTATCATCAAAGGATGATAATTATATATTAATCAATCAACAAAAAAAAAAGGTTAATTGTAGGGTTAATTTGTAGTTTTTCACGCAAGAAAAAGCCCGTGTGTGAATCAAGTTTGGACAATCATGGCAGGACATTATCATCATAACACCATCATATCATTATTATCATCATTGAAGAAGTGACGAAGAAAAAAAAACAAGTGCGAAAAAAAGTTGATCTAATCTCATGACGTTTAATCTCTGTGTGTCTCTTTTCAATCAAGGAAAAATTGATTTTTTGCATCATTCAACGAACTGTCAAAAGTCAATTCGTTGCGAATTTTTTTGTAGGATTTTCTTTTTTCCTAAAGCAGCTGTCATCATCATCAAAAAAAAAACAGGACGACAGAATGATAATCCTTTTTTCTTCAAAAGCGAAAAGAATTTGTCAATGAAATTTTTTTATTTTTCTTGGTTGGAAAAAACCCAATTTTCTTAATCCGCTTGTGATTTGATGACCAACATAGTGAACGAACGTACGAAATTTTTTGATTGCTATTTTCTTAAATGATCAAAAAAATTCATTCAAGTAAATCAACAAAAAAGTTGAAACATTCAACGAATCAGAAACCAGAACAGACGAGAATCAAATCTTGAGAATTCAGATGATGATAGAAACTATGGACATCACTAATCTTGACTACTACTTGCCAGATGAAGAAACAAACAAACAAACAAAAAACAGAATCAAAACAATGTCTAGGTCCCATTTTTTATACGAATTCGTAGAAATCCTGTAGTTGAATGAAAAACATTGATGAATGAATTGAGTCAATGAGAAAAAAAATGTTTCTGGATCCAAAAATGTTATCCGAAAAAAATTGTGCTGTTGTTACACTGTAGCTTTCTGTTGTTGGTACATATCCAATCATCGTAACACATTTTGTAATTAAATAGTATAAAAATGGGCGGTCCTTATATCCACACATCTAATTCAAAACTATACCACTAGCATTGATTTTTTTTTGCTTCACTTTGGCTTCAATATTGGATAATAAGGCGGTCCTATATTACAGAAAATATATGATTCATTATGATGATAGAGTTAAGAAGTGGGATAGTATCAATTGGAATTTGTTTTTTTTTCAAAAAAAGATAGAAAAAAAAACAAACAAACAGACTACATCAGTAAATGGAATGGCATCATTATTATTTGTTCGGATGTAGTAGTCAAGTTGGTAGCTAGAATGATGAAGTTTTCAGATGAATTTCCAAAAAAAACTGCTATCTCCATCATTGAAACCGAAAATATTCTCAAAAAAAGATAATTCATTATTTTTGGTGGTGGTGGTGGTAGTTGTATCGAATCCAATGAATCAAATTCATCATCACCATCATCATCATTCATCAACGATGAATACTGCCACCACCACCACCGCCAAGATCAACCATTGTTGTTGTTGCCATAAATAATATTTGAAAAATTCTATCATCCTATGCGCATCAATTTCCGACAATATACAATAGAATAGAAACAGAAATGTTTACCGCCTATTTTTCTTTTCTATTCTTCAGTCATTCAATGATAGTGGTATTACAGAATGGTGAGAAAAAAATTTGTTTGTTTTTGTCCTATCCCATTTTCAAATCAAGCAACATTGTGTAACAGATAAAAAAAATAGTGATGTAAAATTTGATGCGTTCAACGCACGCGTATCAAATTTTTGAACCAATTGGATGATGTTTCTGATACATTCCTCTCTCTCTCTCTCTCACTATTTTTCTCTTGATAATCATGATTATGATTTGTATCCCTTGGTTGTAAAAGTTACGTAGTTCCAATGGTTGATCCACACACACACCACTACTACTTCTACCATCCATTTAACCATCGTAATGATAACAACAAATCCAGACGCCACTATCTCGATTTCTCTTCATCATCATCATCATCACCATCATCAACATCAAGAGAAATATTATTCAAGCGGTGTATTTTGAATTTCAAGAAGAAAAGAGAAGAATTTGAAACAAACTGAAAAAAAAGACAGAAAAAAGAAAATAATAATAGAAGCCGACATCCAAAAACAAATTCATTTATAGACTACTAGGCGCGATAAAAACACGCCATACAAATATTTTGAATCCAATGAAATTGTGTTGAACAACAGAATCTCGCGCGCCTTTTTTTTACATTTCTGTTTTCATTTCATTCATTCAACATCAAATGAATGAAACAGACAGTCAAAAATTTCATTCTTTCATTTCACAATTCGACGACATACTACTACCGACAATCTTCATTTACGGATATCAACCAAGAAGAAATTTTTTTTTCGAAAACCCAAACAACCAAGAAGATTTTTATTATGATTTTTTTCTTTCGTTTCGAAAGAATTTATCGAATTCAAACCTAGAAAATTATAAAAATAGTCAAGTATATCAAACGATAACCAAAAACCAAATATCAACATTTTTGTTTTGACAATGGTCATGACTAGATCATCATCATCAACATTGTGAAAGAATTTTCGAAAAAATAAAATTCTTGTTATAAATTCTTGATCGATTTTGACTTAGAAAAAAATCTTCAAAATCTAAATTTCGACTTTGTCAATTTTTTTTCAAAAAAAAAAATTTCCCTGCAGCATCCAATGACCATCATCATTAAAAGAAAATCAACACATCATCGTCAACAACATCATCAGGATCATCAACTTGTCGCAATTTCAAAAGAAATTAATTTCATTTTCCTCAATTCAATTCATCATCATCCGCCGCATCAATTGATTAATTGAATTCAATTAAACAAACAGCAACAGTCAATTTTTGTAAGTTGAATCCGGCGAAAAAAAAATTTTTTGAAAATTTTTCTTTGAAAAAAAAAATATTGGCGCCAAATTTTTATTGCTGGCTCCACTTCTGTGTAGTGTTTCAGTGTTTTTTCTCTGTGTGTCTCTGTGTGATCGTTCCAACAGTTTCTAGTCTCAATTCTATTTCGACGCAGAATCTTGAAGAAAAAACACGAGGTATTTTTTTGGATGCGAAAAAAAAAATAATAATTTCGAGAAATTTTCCAGAAAAAAGTAAGAATTTTTCCCGGGAAAAAAATTATCAGTAAAAAAACAAATTATTGAGATCATCGATCGATCGGTTGATCTATTATTGATCGATATCGGTCATATCATTTGATGTGATGTGACGACACCCTTTTCAACGTTAAAACTGTGTATCTTTCGCTCTGCAAAAATAAAAACGGATTTTTCGACCAACGCTGAATATTTCTTCTCAAAACTTCAATCTTTCAATCTTTTGACAAGAAAATTGGCTTGAACTAGTTTTTTTTTGTTTTCAGCATCATCAGAAGAAACTTCGAAACTTATCAAAAATTCAACAATTGTTGTTCAATAAGTGGTGAAAAAACTGTGTGTGTAGATCGTGTATATTTTGATCTATAAAAAAAATTAATCGATTGATCGATTGATTGATTGATTCGATGAGAGATTTGTTGTTGTTATCGTTTTTGTTGTTGTTACTTAATAAATTGATTGAATTGATAAAATCCATCAAAAATTGCTTGGAATATTGCCGTAGTAGAAAATTATTTTACCGGTACAGATGCTGAAGATGATGTAAACAATATTAATGGTAACGAATTTGATTCAATAATAAACAACGAAGATAATAATAATAATAATAATATCCGATCGATAATAACCGGTGAAATTAATAATAATAATAATAACGAAATATCAAAACAAACAACAATAATAACCGATTCGGTAATTAATTCAATGAGCTCTTATCAATTTGTTAATTCATTAAGCTCGTGCTATGGGCCGAGCCGTGGAGATAATGGTACAGCTGCAGCGGCTGTAGCTGCTGATTATTATTCACAACAAGTTTATAATAGTTGGTCATCGAATCCATCAGCGGCTGCTGCATCAGCAGCAGTTGCGGCAGCAGCCGCTGCTGTTGGTCAATCACCAACATCATCACCATATACAGCTTATTTACAACAAAATGGTGGTGGACAGGGACCTGGTGGTCCTAATGTTCAAGATCATCATCATCAACAACAACATCATAATTCACATCAAACATCACATCCATTATCAGCAACACATCATCGTGACATTTATAATACAGCGGCAGCAGCAGCAGCCGCTGTATGTTCACAACAACAAGCCCTAGTTGGTGGCCAACAACCAGGTGTAACAAATAATCGTTTGGCCAATAGTCATCCACAACATCATCAACAACATCCACATCATCAAACAAATAGCCAACAACAACAACAACAATTAATGCAATCACAATTATCACAATTACAGCAACAAGCGGCAGTTGTTGCCGCAACGAGGCAATCAACAAATACATCACCACAATCAAGCTGTAAATTTGGTATTGGTGATCCATCACAATCACCACAAGATCTCAGTACATCAAGTGGTGGTGCTGGTCAATCACCGGAACCACCATCATCACAACAACAACAACAACCACCATCATCATCATCAGCATCATCATCATCATTAAATATACCATCAACATTACAATCAACACATAATAATAATAATAATCAATCATTAACACGTGTTAATCATTCTAATCAAAATTCCAGTAGCTCAACAACAACAACCGGTAATGGTGCAACAAACAGTCATCATAATAATAGTAAATTTAATTCACAAAATAATAATAACAGTGGTGGTGGTAATCCACCACATATTTATCCATGGATGAGAAAAGTACATGTTGGTCAAAGTAAGTTAAATTATTGGATGAAAAGGAAAGAAAATGAAACAAAAAAATCAAGCAAATTATCTATCAAATCATTCATTAAAACACATTTAACTATGGTGTTGACAATCATTTTCTTTTTCTGGTCTATATAAACATTGTCGGTGTGTGTGTGTGTGTGTGTTTATCAATGTGAAAATAGAAAAACATAACATAACATTCAAATTCAATGCTAATCTTAATTACAAACATGATGAATAATTTTTTTAAAAAAATTTACATCAGAACAGCAGCAGCAGAACATTCTCATCTCACTTGCACTGAATGGTGATTACATACAATTCAATTCAATTTTCAGTAGAAATCATTTAGTTAGTCAGTTAGTGAAAATGATGTTTATTATTATTGCTGTATATCATTCATATAATCATTGCATTTTCAAGCAAGGAACAACAAAATATATATTTTGTAAGATTGTGTTTCTTTCTATTTTATTTCACACACACACACCTGATCATTTCTTGAAGCATATGATGATCAACCAAAAAGGAATAAGGAAAATGAAAAACTTGACATACCTGTTTTTGTTGTTTTTTTTTTGATGCTTTGATGGTCGGTTGGTTGACTTTGCAGAAACCAAAAAAAAAGATTCTTTTTTACAAAATCTTTTTTTTTCTTTCGTTCAAACATGATGATCATTTTGTTTTCTTTTTGTTGTTAATATCAATGTCTATGAATGATAATGATAATAATTCTTTCATTCAATTACATGGATGGTTGAGAATTTGGGTTGTCTATTTGTTTGTTGCACCGAAACGAAAAACAAAAATCGAAAAATATGAATTACAAACAAACGAGAAAAACAAGTGAGATAAAAATGAATTTTTCTTGAATTCAATTTTTCAACTGATCACTACACATCAAATCGATTGATTAATTGATTTTATATCGTGGTTAAATACGGAAATCTTTAAGAATTTCGCAAATAAACAAAATCTTTTACTTGATTCAAATAGCTAACGAATCAAACAGTTAAATTGATTTTCTGTGTGTGTGTGAATCTTGGATCCCAAATATCAAATGAACGAAAGAAAAATTTGAAAAACACCAAATATATAATGGGAGAAAATATGGTTTTCTTGAAACTACCAACAACAACAACAACAAATGACTATAGATGATTATGAATGATGATCATCATCCTTATGATGATAATCATCCATAATAATAATACATTTTTTTTTGTTCACTTGTTTGGAACATACTTATACAAGCCCCACACACCAATATCATTTTCATCATTATTATTGTTGTTGGGTGTAAAAAGGAAGAAAAGAAACGAAAAAAGAAAAAAATATGTAAAATGTGTGTAAAATTCACACACCAAAGGTCATGTTGATAATGATTTTCTACCTTTTTGTACTGAAGATGAATTTTTTCATTTTTTTTGGGAAAAAAAATGAAGAATGATTTTCCATCTTTGTAACCATGTTTTAACATTGAATGAATTGAAAGAAAAGCGGAAAAAAATATGAATTTTGTTTTTGGTTTTCTTGTTGTTGTTGTTGTTGTTGTTGTTGGTTGAACAGTTATAATTATTGTTACACCAGAAACCCGAAAAAAAATCATGATTATCAACAACAACAACAAAACTACAAAACTACAATGTTTTTTTTATATGTATCAGACACCGAGAGAAAATTGTATCATGCTAATGATTTTTCTTTCTTTCTTTCATTCATTGGTTACAATTGTCAATTTTTTTCTCGTCTTCGTTTCGGGTTTATTGTGTTCAAAATTCGGGATATTAATGATCTTTTTTTTTCTTGCTTGTCACAACAACCAGAGCAGATGAGCAAATATCTATCTCTTCTTTCATTTCATTTCATTCGGTGTAAATCAGGTAAACACACATAGCGTACAATGATTTTCTTCCTGTATCACACACATAGATTCAGGTAGAAAAATATTGCGACATTTTTTTTCAGAAAAATCAAAAATCCTAATGCATTTTCAGTGGTTGTCATCGCTGAATGAATATTTAAAAAAAATGATTTTATTGCACCCATGTGTGTGTGTGTGCGTGTTACATTCATTCATTTACATTTGCCAAAACACTTTAAAAAACAGCCCAATGATGATGATCAATGATTAAATTTTACACATATGGTTTTCTTTCGTTTGTCAAAAATAACCAAAAAAAAAAAAAAAAAAATTCATGTAAGAATAACCAAAAGATTTTCTTTCCGATTGATCATGTTTTTTGGTTGATTTATTTAACCATTGCTTGATCCAAGCAAGGTAAGCAACCAAAAGATGTCCAATCAATTGATAATATTTACTAAAAAATTTTTTTTGGAACCATCAAAAATATCCATAGTGTTTCCAAAATAGAAAAATAAATAATGATAGTTGAAAGAAAAAGAAAAAGAAAATTGCGACAGAAAAATCATTTATTAATATGACACATTTTCTACAGTGTGTCCAAAAAACAACAACCAGCCAAAAAGATCATTAATCTCAATGATATACCTGGTGGATATATCAAAAGAAGAAAAAAGAATAACACATTATTCACATTTCTAATATGGTGGTCAAATAACCGCACAAAAACACACACAAACAATACCTTGTTTTTACTTTTCACAAAGGTGTTTTTCGTGAAAATCAAAACTGTATTTTTTCTTGTTTGTTTGTTTGTAAATGTTATGTTGTTGTTGTTGCTGCTGTTATGACATTTCAAAAAAAAAAATTTGTAATAAACAAGAAGAAACATGTGATAGTTTTTTGTTTTGTTTTGTTTGTTGTTTAGTTTTATCATCCAAAGACGTAAACATGTCAAATACAGAAAACAAAAAGCCATCTAGATTTACTTTTATTCCTGACATTTTTTTTCCTGATTTGCACACCGGTGTGAATATATTTCATATGAAGTGAGAGTGTTTGAGGGGAAAAAAATGATCCAAAACAATGAAACCAAAGACGAAAAAAGAAAACTATTAATTTTAATTATGAAATAGACAGCGAGAGAAAGAAAGAGATGACACCTTTTTCATATGGTTCGACATGTATATGTTTGTTTGTTTTCATTCATTCACTTTCATCATTTTGATATTCATCAAAATTCTTGTTGTTGATGATGGTGGTGGTGATGATCCATAAACAAAAATAATGTCACCATATTTCGATCATAATCATCATCATTTGATTACAAGGTGAAATTTAGTTGAATTAATTCAATGGAGAAAATGAAAATCATTTGCAAATTGTTTTTCGTTATTGTAAAAACAAACAGAGAATGAAACAAACTTTTCCATTATTAATGGCTTTTAATTGATGATTTTATTTAGATATAAAATTACATTCAACAAATCAAAACAAACCAAAATTGTTTATGTTATTTTAGATTTTCTTTGAAATAATAAAAACGCAACGGATCAAAATGAAAAGTGAGAAAGATTTATTACTTGATTGATACAGCGCCTGTCATCAATTTATTGACTTATTGTTTTATTTGAAACAACAACAAGAAGAATTCCCGAAAAACAAAAATCTGAATAATCCAAAATTTGAAGAAAAGAACTGAGATCAAAGTTTTTTTGTTTACAATTTCTTTCTTCTTATTTTGTTTTCATTACATAAATCAATCCCTGTGAAATTTGAATATTCTGATTCTGGTATGTGTGTAGTAAATAAAAAGTAAAAAACAGCCAAAACATTGATCCCAAATCTCTTTAGTTTTTTCATCATCGAAAAAAACAAAAAACATCATAATGAATATGATGAAAAGAAATATTCCAAGAAATTCAGACTTGTCAATCGATATAGTTACTTTACTTTGTTTTTCATTCTTTTTGACATGTTTTGATTGTTTCATTTTCTCTCTCTCACTTGATTCAATTTTACTAAACAAAAAAACCGAAAATGAACAAACGGGAAAAAAATCTCGTGCAAAAAAAAACATCATCCGCATCCACATCATCCATATCATCCTCATTCGTTGATGCAAAAAAGAAGAAGAATGCACTATGGAAAATTGCAAAAATCTCATTGACTATTTTTATATTTTTTTGCTTTGCTCTTGATTCTCTCTTTTTCTATAATCTTTTTACTGTAATGCATTTTGATGCAGTTTAGTGAATGCAAAAGAATGAATGAACAAAGAAAAAAAGTGATGCGAAAAAAAGCAAAAAGACGAAAAAAAAAATATCTAAGAAGAAATTCATTTTGATTGGCAGTTTGACAGTTTTTTTCATTCATCGTAATTTTTTTTCTTTTCATTTCATTCACTTGCTTTACATACTTTCCCTGTTTGCTGTTTGATGATGATGATGCTTTGTGAATTGAAATGAAAAAGAAGGATGCATCGCAGGCAAAAAAAAAACAGGCAGTGAAGAAAGAAAACTTGAATATTGAAAACTAAAAACTGAATATATATCTATTTTGAAGAAGATGAATAATGAAATACTGTGCCATTGATGTTGATGATGATGAACTTCTTGTTTGTTTGTTTGATTTTCATATATACCGAAAATATTGGAAAGGAGAGAGGGAGAGAAAAAACAAATCTTGAGAGTTTTTCAATGTTTGGATTTCTGGTTTTGATGCCAGTTATCATAATAAGAATGATAATTAACACCAGTCAAATCTTAAAGGAAAAATTAAGTTTATTGATTTTGATTTTGGATCATCCTTTTTTTGGATCATCAGTTTTTAAAAATGTTTTTGGGAAATCTTTTACTAAATAAGCGAGAATTCATACGATTCTTTTGGTTTTTTTGGTTTTTGCATTTGAAATTTGAGCTGTCAATTTTTCAAGAATTTTTTTTTCTCTGCTGTTTTTTTCTCTGATCTCCCATTATTGTATTTCATTGTTGACTTCTTCTTCTTCGTTTTTTTCTGTGGGTAAACGACTGTCGTCAACATTTCTAATTTCATTTCATTTCATTTCAGCTAAAATGTTTTAGTTTCCCAAACAAACTCAAACAACTCAAAACAAACAAGCAACTTTATTCTCTTTTAGCTTTCATTCATTCCAACCAAGAGAAAAATCAAAAAACCAGAAACCAATGAAAAAGAATTACAAAACATAAAGTAAATTTACTAAATGATAATGTAATAATGTAAGAAATATCATTCAAAAATGAATTTGAAATAAAAAAAAAAAAAACATTAGATTTTCTTTCACTTCTCAAAGGAAAAACATTTGGTCAAATTCAAATAGCATCAGGTGGTGAAATGAATGTGTTTATAAAGACATTTGTTAATGGAAATTAAATTGGAAAATAATTTTCTCATTTCAACAAACAGAAACAGAAAAGAAAATGATTGAATCAGAAAACTAACTGAACATTTTTTGATTTGATTTTGATTGTTTTTATATATAAGTATGATTGTTNAAAAAAAAAAAACATTAGATTTTCTTTCACTTCTCAAAGGAAAAACATTTGGTCAAATTCAAATAGCATCAGGTGGTGAAATGAATGTGTTTATAAAGACATTTGTTAATGGAAATTAAATTGGAAAATAATTTTCTCATTTCAACAAACAGAAACAGAAAAGAAAATGATTGAATCAGAAAACTAACTGAACATTTTTTGATTTGATTTTGATTGTTTTTATATATAAGTATGATTGTTATCGTTGTTGTTGTTGTTATTTACAAAATGATAATTTCAAAATGATTTTTTTCGATGCCATCACATTTTTTTTTCAAATCAAAATTTGTTATTCTTCACTGTTTGTCTCTTGTAATTTTTTCTTTTTTCTTCCTTATTTATTTCAAACCAGATGGAGTGAATTCAATGGGCGAAACAAAACGACAACGTACATCATATACCAGATATCAAACATTAGAATTGGAAAAAGAATTTCATTTTAATCGTTATTTAACACGTAGACGTCGTATTGAAATTGCACATTCACTTTGTCTAAGTGAACGACAGATAAAAATTTGGTTTCAAAATCGTCGAATGAAATGGAAAAAAGAACATAAAATGCAAAGTGTTATACCACCACAATTACCTCAAATGCTTGGTCCAATTGATCATCATTTACATCATCATTTACATGGTGAAACAAAGGTAAAAGGGTAAATTATTTTGTAATTTCAAAAGTTTTTTAAATTTCTAATTTTGCTTTTCTTTTTCCCAAAAAAACAACCAACAGATATTTTCAGCTATAAATTGATTGAAATCCATCGATCACACATCGATCAACAGAATCCACAGTCGATTTTTTTTCAATACAAAACCGGTCGTGTTTTTTTAGTCGTCATCACACGTAAACACGTGTAACACCGTGTAAACCGAAAACAAACTTTTTCAATTTTCAATTTTGCAATATCATTCATTCAAAACAAAACAAAACAAGGCAAAAAAAATTTTCCAAATCCTAATCAACCGATGATGAAATCAACATTCATTGTTTAAATGTCATCATCATTCTAATCGATTTTAAATTGTGCAAAGAAGAATAAGAAAAAATCAAAGGTAAACTTTGAAATGTCAGATTTTTTTTGTTTGATTTGTTTTTTTTAATGAATTTTTTACTCGAAAACAGATTTACAATAACAACAACAAAAGTCTTTCGCAAGTCACAAACAATATGATTGAACGACGGCGACGACAGCGACAGTTTTTTCATCTTTATCATCATCATTATCATCATCACTCAATAATTAATCATCAATTTGGATCCCACCTATAAATTTGATAAATTTTCTCTAAACTCACATGCGCTCTATTTATCTTTCTTCTAACTGTCATACAATACGCCCACACACACACACACACACACAATACACACCTGAAAATTAATGTAAAAAAACACCTATTTATTTCATTGATATCATTGATATCATTTCATTTGAAAATCCAGAACAGAATTGAGAATTTCTAGCCAAAAAAAAAAAAACAAGAAAATCACATGCGAAAACATCATTTAAAGTTTAAATTTTAAACAAAAAACAAAAACAGAACTACAAAAAGGAAACATTCTCGTTTGATAAAATTGAATAAAACAACAACAATTTCAATATCCATCATCCATCATCAAGCATCATGCATTTCAATTCATTCATTCATTCATTCATCAATCATTATTCATTACATTACTTCTTCCTATAAATATCGGCTACATATGATTATTCAATGTATTACAAGATTTTTGATTTTTTTGATTTTTTTCTCTGATTTGAATCGATTCAAATCTTTTATCGAATAATAACTATTAATAATATTGATTGATTGATTTGTAATCAACAAATTTTGATTTGATTTTTAGTCATATCACCCAAACAAACACACATTACATACCTGAATTACACACACACACCTGTGGACTAAATAGGCCAAACTTACATGTAATTTTTTCTTGTCTTCTTTATTCTGTCTTCATATGTTTCGCTATCGATTCACAAACAAACAAACCAACAAACACACATCGACATTGTCATTGATTTTTAAATAAAATTTTCATTTTTTTCATTCTAGTTTCGATTCAAACAAACATTTAAATATATAAAAATATTAATGATAAATAAATAAAGAAATGAAATAATCATCATCATTTGCAATCAATTCTTTTGTTTCATGGAATGTAAATTTTTGAAATAAAAAAATCATTTCCCTTAAATATGGCTTTAAAGCCGGAAGGCAAAATTTTTTAAGCATTCAACAATTAATTTTCCAATCTAAATATTTTTTATTGAAAAAACAATTTGGCAAGCTACTGATGTTTAATATTCATTATATGTAGATTAATTGGAATGTGTTTTTTCCTTATTTTTGAAAAGAAAAAAAGTAAATTCAAACAGGTTTTGTTTTGTTTTGTGGAAACATTCCTATAAAATTTTTCCAATTCAAATTCAATTCGATCGATACGATTTTGATTGATGATTTGATTTTGTTCCACTTTGGCCAAGAAAAATGAATGAAAAAAAAGGTAGCATTTTTTAAAGGTGAAAATGGAAAATTCAAACTTAAAAACTTTCATTTCAGTTTGCCATTTTGCGAATCCAAAGAAAATTTTGAATCCACAACTATAGATGGAGTACAAGATCCGGTTCTCTCTCTATTATTCGACGCCCGAAATATCTTTTTCAACGAAAAAAAACATCAACAACCAAAAAAGCGAATCCAAACCTTAACGATAAAAATGTGAAAACAAAAATCAGCCAAATGCGCATGCGATTTTCCGATTTGTTAGTTCAAAACATTTTTGATACAAACAACAACTCGAGAAAATAAAGCCTACACCCTCCTTGTTTCTCTCTCTATGTGTGTATCACATTTGGCTTTGTCCATTATAAACAAAATTTTTCCTTCTTTCTTTTTTGGATAATGGTGGCGCGCATTGTATCAAATTGCATTATAATGAATGTATCGATTTGGCTCGTTATTTCGTAAAAAAACAACAATAAAAACAACCATAAAAACAACAACAACAACTTTAAAATGGTAAGTATCGTAAAAACATTTCATTCGTTCAAAATCGTTTTTATCCCTTTATTTATTGATTTGACATAGGTCGATTTTGGTTAATTTGAACAAAAAGAAAAGAAACATGAAAAAAGAAACCATAATGATATTTATTTGGCCCAAAGTATTTTTCCGGTGTTATTTTTTTCGTTGATGGTGGTTGTAAATCATAAAAAAAAATCATTTGAAAAACTTAACAGGAATTTCAAAATGTTTTTATGGCCACCACCATAATGTTCAATTTGGTGGTGGTGGACAACGGTCATCAATGAAGAAAAAAATTGCTTGAAAAAACAAAAACAACAACAAAAACTTTAAAGAAAATTCAAATGTTTTTCCCAAGTAAGTAACATCTTTATCTATTAATTATGGCGAAAAAAAATTCATTAATTTTATTTTCATTTACAGACATTTTACCTATAATTGACTTATTAAAACAAACGAAAAAGAAGATCAATTACTTCAAAAAATCATCGGCTATCTGATTATGTTTTGGTTGTTAAATTTCTAGTCTCTAGAGACCAGATCATTTTATCTTTGTTTTGTTTTTGTTTTTTGGTGTTAAGAATGTCAAAAGAAAGGGCCACATGTTGTTTGTAAATCTTTGTTATTGGGTGTGTAAAAAGCCAATGGCAGAAATGTCAAACAGCAAAACAACTTTCTTCGAATCCAAATTCATTTTTCAAAAACAAAAAATTGTGACAAATCAAACCAACTAAACAGCAACTTTTCACCTTTTTCTCCCGGGAGCAATAATAGACAGGTAAACTTTTGTTTGTTTGTGTGTGGTCAATTCTTGATAATTAATGATTCTTTTTTTCATTTAGTTTCAGTTTTTTTTCAAAGAAAATGGCTTTATCTTCAAGGTGTCATCAAGAAGATTTTGACAAAAACAAAATCTGGATACAAATTGAAACATCATTGAAGCAAATGAAAATACATTTTTTTGCGTTTTCTTCACAAAAAACGCCTTTTTCAATTCATTCATTCATTCATTTACATTTGGTAAAAGTTCATCAATCAGCCTCATATGAAATTCAAATTTTTCTGTTTTGTTTTCGTTTTGTTATTTGACAAAACAAAAAATCCGAAACAAAATGTCAGAAGGTGTTTCATCGTTGGGATCCAATGTTAATTTCCATAATAATTTTCTTTCTTCCATTTTGTTGCTCAAAGATCAAAGATCTTTATTGTAATCAAATTCAGATGAAAAATGAAAAAATTATGATTCTGCTTAACAATCAAGACAAACAAAAACAAATTCTTTGATTCTTAAGCGCACAAACATCATACATCAAAGGAATATGCCTGTCTTACTATATAATGGACAAAGCCAAAGCACATGTGTATAACACACACACACACACCTATAGAGCCGCATCATATTCCGATTCATCAATGAATATAGAAGATGCTCAAATGCATGAAAAATAACCGAATAATAATGAGTTTGCTCAAAAGAAAATTTTGATTTTCAATTTTTTGTTTGTTTGAAATTAAAAATGAATGAATTCTTTGGCTTTCTTTCGGAATTGTTTTGCAGAAAAAAAAAGTATTTTTCACCTGAATTTTAATTTGATTAGATTCTGGTTTCTTCTGGATAACGATATCTAATGATGGCGTCTAATCACCAACAGCATTATCTTTGTTTTCGTTTCATTAATTATTACTAAAGGGTTACTTTTATAAGTCGATAAACAAAAACAAAAAAAAACTGAAAAACTGAAAAGCAGGAAAACTGAAAAAACAGGAAAAATCATGCAATACAACTTATCAACTAATCATCATCATTTATCATTGTAATTTTATTAATTATAATTTTTAGTTTCCAAGTAGAATTGTTGGTTAGTTTGTTGTTTTTTAGTTTGTTGTTGTTGTTGTTGTTTTTGCATATATTTTGCGTGTGTATTTTTTGTTTTTTTTTCGTGAATAATTTGATATCATCATCATCATCATGAACAACAAAAACAACAAGGATACGGTTCGATGATATTTTTCAACTTTTTTTTTCTTGCATTTTTTTTCCATTGGCAAGTCAAAGAATAACTCAAATGGCTACTGTGTGTTTAATTTCGGGCTAGATTTTTTTCTTTAGATGAAAATCCTCTTTTTGATAATCAAAAAACTGGAAAAATTCTTTCCTGTTTTTCGCCAACGATATTTCTAAGCAAAAGCACATACCACGACACACACACAACAGACACACTTATATAATCTCCTATGATCATCACATCACGAATTTATTTTGTCTATTAAAAATGAAAAATGATACCATTCGGTTTTTTTTTGTTTGGAAATCCAAGCTAACCAACCAGCGACAACAACAAGGGGAAACGAAAAGTCTAATAATCCAACCAGCAACAACAACATTAACCAAGAAACTTTTTTTTTGTTTTTCAAGTTAGTTAATAAATAGTTATCAATGGATATAAAAAGGAAGAAAGAAGAATTTAAATTGGAAAAAAACAAAAAAAGAAAAAAAAAGAAAAAATTTTAATAAAACGAATAACAAACAAACAAATGTTTATTAAATGTTTATGTGTGTTGGATCTTGGATCCTGGAACCTTAGATTCATTCATTCATTATCATATCACGTGAAAAAAGAGAAAAAAGCAGGAGAAACAAATAAATAGGAGATTCACACACACACACACACACAAACAAACAAGCAAAGAATATTCAACAACAACAACAACAACAAGAAGCGCCTGATATTCATTTCTATTTCAATTCAATAATCATATATAGTCGTATTTTCTCCTTGTTTTCTCTCTGTTAACTATCTTCCTTTCTATCTATCTATATGCTCCTGGTGCCTGTGTATGTTTGTCTATTCTTCATTCAAATTTGAAATAAATATCTGACATTTGTACCAACTAAACACACACACACACAATATATACACAAGACAAACATTGATGATGATGATGATGATTGATTACTGAAAAAATTCTGCCTGGTATTTTTTTTCTTCATTATTATTATTATTATTATTATTATTTTTCAAATAGTACTTGGCTGGTCGATAGATACCAGATAGATAGATAGACTATACGCATGACATTTTCCTGTTTTTCTCTACTGACTACAAATGATAGCTGTTAAGAATTTATCAAGAATTTTCGCAAACTGTTTTGCGCTGTTTTATTTTGTTTGTTTTGATTTAGAAAAATTCAGAGAAAGAAAAACGAATGAGAAAAAAGTATCCCGAAAAAAAGTGTACACTATAGACATGATGTTTAAGTTTTTTCGTTGTTGTTGTTGTTGTTGTTGGTAAAACTAAACACACACACGTAGAGAATCAAATGCATCACACACACACACACA